ACTTATTAAATCCTCAGTCATTGAGGTTACCTAGTTCATTTAGCAGTCATGTCCATTCCAGTTACTTCAGGATTTTCCAGAGTAATTCAAACGTTCCTGAATTTCAGATACATGTTGTACTTCCATTCCATTCAATTTGGTCTTTATGGTTGATTTGTCGAACAAACGTCCAATTCTTAGTATTGAATACGATCTAGAGCTGAGCTGAATACTTCCAAAATTTATCATCGAGCCAAACTTGAGAAGACGAATACATGTTCCAGTAATATCTATGCCATTCAGGTATTGACATAGCTTTAGGGTTGATCTACTCACTTAAACTATTTTCCATTACCTTTAAAAGTAGTCCAATACCTATGCTTACTTGGATTCCTTAATTAATCCAAGACATTTACTTAATATAGGCCATAAGGGTATTTTGGTCATTTTGGTTTTCAATTTTATTCCAATCATAACAGAGCTCAAGGATATCCCATCATTCCTGAGCTTGGTGATATTCTTCGGTCATTTCCATTACAGGGGTAATTTGGTTATTTTACAGATCCACGGTATTTCAATCTTTTTCCTCCATCCGGTCTTATTATTTAATTCCAATTTATCATCTATTCCATTCCGTTCGAACAATTCTGATAAAAGAGCACCCTCCAATAAATTGTTCTTCAGGTATTTACTCATAACTCGGATATTTTCGGGTCAAGTGCCTTCTCGGATTTTACAAACGCAATATTATGAATTTTTCTTTACAAAGACAGAAAATTAATAATTAACTTTGTACTTAATCGAGTTAAGTACAAATCCTCAAAGTGTTTTCTCCTTCAGGGTCAACTCTGACTATTTTACCTCTCAAGGGCATTTTCGTAATTTCTTAACCAGATAATTTCGATATTAGCTCTTAACGAAAATAATATAATATAGAGATCCTATGATTAATTGCTTCCTCGAACATTCTTTGATCTTGAAATGATTCCTTAAAGGACTTTTAGTATCTAGTATAAACCTTCTTGGGGTTAAAAATCGGTTATCCATAATTTCCAAGTAAAACTAACATTTTCTATACACATCAATAGTTTTAGCAGATCAATAATTCTTTTCAGATTTATTAATCCACTTCCAGGGACAATTCTTGTCATTTTCTAACATAAGGGTAATTTCGTAATTTTACCTGATCGAAATATTCTCATAATTTATCATCTAAGTACCTTTAATGAGATAAATTATAATCTACATATCCATGGTTGATTCTTTTATCACTTAATTCAAGAACTTGTAATTTAATTCCAACTGTCCTCCAATTTCTTATAATAGTAATCTCAGCCATATTCAGTTACCTACTTTCTACCGTATTCGTATCTAGTGTTGATCTTCATTAATTATACATACGAGACCAAACATTTTCATTCATGCATTTACCAATACCAATACGTTCTATAAAACATAAAGAGGTAGTAAAGTATTACCTCGATTTCCGTGCAATACTGATCAACCATAAAAATTCCATTCGAACGCCTTTGATCTTCAATTCAACTTCCAATAATTCCTCAGATACATATTAACATAAATTATATCAGAAACGGAGCTTAATTGCGATAAACAGATCGAATCGGGTGATAAATCAGTGAAAGACAGCTTATCGGGTTCGAATTTGGCGAAACGGACTTCGGATTCAGGACGTCGAAAGCATAAAATATGACTTTTCGGAAATTTGGAATTTTCGGTCAAAATCAAAGTCAACGGGTTTGACCGGCAATTTCGAGGCCTTCGGGTCTTAATTTCGAAAAACGGATTGCGGAATCGGATTTGGAACGTCGAAAAATGTCAGGATAGGTATGCTCGGTCAAAAAAAATGTCGTTTAATGCCCGGTCAAAGCCCGTCAAAGTTTAGGTCAACGTCGGTCAACGGTCAATGGGTCAACGGTCAACGGTCAACGGGTCGGGTCAACGGGTCTGGTCGGGTTGTGACCGGTCAACTGTGCACCAAAACCGGTCAAACCGGTCACTTTTGTCTTCCCCACGCGCAGTGGGGGCGCGTGAATAGTGTCCTGATATCGGAAAATTCCCGGAAAAATTCTTTAAAATTATTTTAAGCGATTTCGAGATACTTACAAAGCTCGGTTCAAATTTTTGAACGGCGGAGAGCTCGATTTCAACGAATCGGAAACTTTGACCGCTTCACCTCCACACGCTCCGCCGCTGCCGGAGAAAAGAGAGGACACCGGTGGACTCGGAACGGCACAAGGAACACGATGGTGCGGGAGGTGTCGTAAACAGATGACCCGATCGTAGTGAATCGATGAAAAACCAACTAAAACCGAGTTATTACCGACGATACTTCCGACTGAAATTTACGACGAACGACAATGATTCACGACAAAAGGTTTGAGGGGTTTTGTTCATCGGTTGACAACGAACACGATGGTGGTTTTGGCTCGTCGATCGGAGGTCGAACGGCGAGTAGATCGGAGTTCAAAGAGGGGTTGATGAAGAGGAAAATCTGAAAAAATTTCCAGAAAACATACGAGGAGAGATCTATAATTCTCTCCAAAATAAAAATGGCTAAATCATGGGTTTAGCCACTGAATTTTCTACACTTCTTAAAACGGTCTGTCAACTTTGAAATCTTATAATTTAATCCCCGATTTCTTCCAAAAATACCAATTAAATTCACCAATTTATATTTTCTTAAATTTAGCCCCTAAATTGGGGTGTTATATATTTGTCAAGTCAAGATGGTTTCATATGATCTAATTTGAGGTGTATATTTCATTTAAATTTAAATTTAGGATGGCTTTATATGATTTAAAATTTGACCTGAATTTTAGTGTAAAATTCGTATTCGATCTAGTGACCTAACATAAATCTTTTAAAAATATTTTTAATTGATAAAGTAAGAATTTAATTAAAAATTGGTATAGAGATTGATATTACATCAATCATCACTAAATATATGAAAGAAAATTATATTATTATTTTGCGTCGAATCGAGATATAAATGTTTCACTCTAAACTCAATTCTGATTCTTTTAAAATAAAAACTTAACACTATCATATCAAATTTTGTCAAATTTTAATCAAATCACAATATCTATCTACAAGCTTGTATATTTGAATGTCATCATACATATTTGAGTTATCTTAAATTATTGGGAACTTTTACGAGCACAACACACCCACTAATTTTATCTTCTCTAGCTCTAAGCTTTCTTTCTCTAGCTCACACTTTTGGCACCATTTTCTCACTTTTTCATTCTTATTCCAATACAAAACTCACTCCTATTTATAGATTCTAGTGGCCATTAGATTGTTAACACATGTCAACATCTTAGCCAATTAATATTACAAATTTCTAGATCTTCTAATAGATAATTCTATATATAATATTAAATATTACAAATATCTAGATTTTTATATGGACAATTCTGCACATCTATAAATTCTATATTATTTAGTTTTTTTATATATATAAACTAAATAATTCTAGAATTTACATTGTCATTTAACATTCCCTCAATGCAAACTTCTTTCCATAAATGACTTGCAGACCATTCCGAGTGCTTCTTTGAATTTCTCAAACTTTGGTTTACTTAGACTCTTCGTGAAAATATTTGCAACTTATTCATGTGCCTTTGTTGTCACCATCCTAATATCTCCTTCAAGGACCTTCTCGCGAACATAGTGATAGTGCACTTCTATATGTTTTGCCCTTGCATGAAAGACTAGATCTCTGCTAGAAATATAGCTGATAGATTATCGCAAAAAAGTCTTACTTGATAGTTTGTTGGCTGATGAAGATCTTCCATTAATTGCTTCAACCAAGTACTTTCTTGTGTTGTTGATGCTGAGAATCAATATTCCGCTTCAGTGCTTGATAATGATACTATTGGTTGTCACTTGCTACACCATTATATTGCTCCCGATCCAAAACTAAAGGTGTACCCAGTTGTCGACCGTCGCGTATCATAATCTCCAACATAATCGGCATCACAATATCCAGTCACTTGACATTCTTTTGCTTTCTTGTATAAAATACCAAAATTAATAGTGCCTTTAACATACCTCAAGATGTGTCGTATCGCGTCAAGTTGAGACTTCTTTGGATTGCTCTTGTATCGACTAGCCACTCCAATTACATAAGTTATGTTTGGTCGACTTAGTATGAAATAGATAAGACTTTCGATCAACTATCTATACATGGTAACATCTTCTATACTTTTTTCATCTACTAGTAGTTTTGAATGATTTTATGTTTATAAATTTTGTTCTTAAATAATCCACTATGTTAGTGGGGAAAAGAAAATCCATGGCGTTTGAAAGAATACTCCTTTATTGGAAAATAAGTCGACTGGTTTAAAATTTAGAAATACTTTTCGTCACTATTGAAAATATTAATACTTCTTTCACGTGTAAAGGGGCTTATTTAACCACTAATTAGTTTACTAAACTTATTTGTTTATACAAACAGTTGAACCTTGAAAATTTCAATTAAATGACTTTTGATTTTCAATTAAACAATTCTAACCTGATTTTCCTTTTTAGCTAAAAATCATACTGCAGTTTCGAATTCCAATAATAAAAAGAGATCCCGCATATACGATTTTAGCCCATAAAGTATGCAGAATTTTATGTTATGGATGAATTTTTAAAATTTAAGATGAGATAAACTTATAAAATTTTAAGAGATGAAAATAAATTGTTAATAAAAATATATAAAAATATCTAAAATATATATTATTAAAAAATATTGAAAGACCATTGTCCCCTCCCGTCCTCTTGCCCCCAACGGTTCATCCCAATTTTTTGCCATGATAATTATTTCTCTAAATGTATCATAGATTGAGAATATTAATTTATATATATCAAAATTTGAACTTTAAATTTGTTGAAAGATTTTACAAATCACAGTTGACAACTTAAATTTTTTTTTTTAAAAAAAAGGTAGATTAATGAGCACAAAAAGAGAAAATGGCAGTCCTGAAACAGAAAAGAATGAAAGAATGAAAGTAGCTCTAACCTATCCGTATGGAAGTGCAAGTTAAAAAGTCATCACAATGAGATAAGACTCCATTTACTTTGGACTCCTGCTCGCCTCTGTCTGCCAAAACATAAATCCATAATAAGGAAAAGGGACTCCACGAGGATCAAGCATATGATTGCTTACCAGATATTGATGTCCATCTGTTGATTTATTACGTCCCGGATCTGAGACTCGTGATCTCGGGACTCCATGGGCAGGTTGTCTTTGAATAAAACCCAGTACGTGATTATAAATGCTGTACACCATTGCACCAAAAAGATCATGCAACTATGATATGCTCAGTTCAAAAAAGAAAACATCATTTGACAAGAGGAGCAATGAAACTTGCATAGTTACTAGTAAATGTTAGTTGAAAACATCATTTGAGAAGAGGAGCAATGATTGGCACATATCAGGCAAAACGCCTGTATACTTTATGTGCATCCTGTATGCAAGTGCATGTGCTTGCATCTGTAGTTAAATCTATAAGACAGGACCAAAAAAGTAATTATATTAAGTTAAAATGTGACACCTGAGGCGATGCCGGTTGCAAGCGTCAAAGAAAGCCGCAAAACCATATAATATACTTCTGAGAGCGCGGAATATCTGAAAAGATGGCAAGACAAAATATGTAAAAAGAAACATAAAGGAAGGACATATTTATGAGGACAATTATATATATATTTTAACCTGGGATAAGAGGTCACTCCAAAGTGAACGCCACATAGAAACTTCCTGAGCGCTGTGCACTGTTGCTTCCGCTTCTGAAGCAACCTCTATCATGCTACTTAAAAACTCCCATATATCTCCAACAAAATCAATGATGAAGGCACACACATTGGCCAAAAAACTGGCTAATGCAAGGACCAGGCGGATCGGGGCATACAGCATTTCCCAAACAATCAAAAACATGGGATACAGGACGGAAGTTGCTGCAGGTGCATGAATATAAGAATGAACAAAATTAACGAACTGAATCAATAGAATTTCAATCATCTGATGACCTACCAATGTTACTGAGAACTGAGATAATGAACCATATAGGCATTAGTACAACATCCATGAAATCATCCAGTAAACTGTAGACAAAACCAATCACAATACATATGATCGAAAACATGCTTTCTATTAATTCACTAAATATATTCCAAATTGGAAAGAGGAATTCCAGAAGTTCCATAAGTGGTCCTGCCAATGGTAGATTAAGAAAAGAGAAAAATGACCGACTAGCACGCAAAACCACCCATAACCAGTGCATGGCCTTCTCAAAGTTTTGAAGAAATAGCATAGTTCCCAAGTACTTGATCCTCGTTACCATCTCCCAGTTCTCAATCCAATCAAGAAGTGGTCCACATAAATGAGACGCAGCTGCCTTAAGAAGAGGGACATTTTTGTATAGGTCAAAAAATCCTATTAGAACAGTAATGATTGAAATCAAAACATATAGAGCTCTGGCCAGAGGGCACATCCATGGGCGATAGATATGGCAAAAGCCAGGATATGATTGAAGAAAAAGGGCCCAAGATGGGAGACCAGCCTCTAACAAACGAAGTAACCTCAGGTCAGGTGTTATTATTTGCTTTAGTTTAAATGGGAGATCCCTATCATCAAACCTGAACAAAATAAGAACGTCCCTATACTCTGTAGCTTTGACTGCAGTTTCATCGGAGTCGTCTAATGAATTTTTGGCTTCACTTTGGGTTTCATCACAATAGACGTCAACTCCAGTAATAATTGCCTTAGTGCCTTTCCTTCTATTATAGAGCCCAATAGGAGCAGAGGGGTATGGCTCAAAAGTTTCCAAGTCCATAGTTGCAGAGCAAATCTCGAGATTGTCACAACGATCATGGGAGAAACTATCCTCAATGCTGAAACAACCATCATCATAGTCATCATCAAAAGTGATCAGCATTGGAAAATCTTCTTCGACATCATAGAAGACCTCTCCTGAAAATAAACCAAATTTATTACCATAACAGCCAGCAAATTTGTCATTGAGATAAAAGTATGCTGTGGTGAACAACAAAATCAACATGCAGTGGATTGACTGAATTAGCTGTCAAATGAAAGACCACAGCATGTAATATAAATCATGGTATATACTGAGATTGATATACAGGCAACAAATTAAAGGCATCCAGTAATTTATTTGACCATTTTCCAAACAAATTTTGTACATATCACAGTGAACATGCGTAATCATAACTTCACAGGGAAAAAGTACTTGCTACATCAGACAAAGGCATAAAGGATGCAGCTGGATATGAGCAAATCAATGTTTATTGTGTTGGTTCCAGAATCCAGCGTGTAAGAGACCTGAGGGCACAACACCTCAATTGCAAGCGGAATGAAACAATTTAGCACCTACTGTATAAGCCAATTATAGGAATAGGATAGCGTTGAACATATTAATAAACCATACACATACGTATTCAGATGAAAAATCGATTTACAGGTTTAAATCTCAAAACATTTTTTCAACAATGAAGCAGAAAACTTACAGGTTCATGGTCATTTCTAAAAACAAAATTTATCAGGTTAAGCCAGAATAACTGGAGATGACTATTTAATCACGTTTAAGAGACGAGTATTTGCAGGTTTGACTAAATTAGCTGTCAAATGAAAGAGCACAGCATTGGAAACACATGAACACAAGGATGACTTGTTCCTAGTGTCCACACCCGTTTCTAGCACACTGTTATAAGAAAAAATAGTTAGCACCAACAAAGGCAAACTAGAGCCACATGCTTATGTGCCTGCCAAGTTTCAGAGTCTGCACGTTCTATAAAGTTTTTCATAAAAAATAAAGCCTTGTCAAACCTTCAAGCGACAAATAACGGAGGCCAATGTTTTGAAAAAAGTAACTGGAGTGAAAATTAAAATTCTAGCAGTCACAATTTTTTTTTGATAGGAATAGTAGGCCTCACTAAAAACCCCCTTCATGATTAATGGAACTTGAAAATAGTTCCTTAATCAGCGGAAGGAGGAAAAGAGTGCCCTAGGAATTCATTAACCTCAAAACATTACAAAGTAATACAAAGTCTAATCTCCCTCCAGAGATAAAAAGCCAAAAAGAAACAACCCTTAACAGAACATAATTCTCAACCAATACCAGCCTTAGCTAGAATATCCGCCTCTATATTGGCTGTCCTACTAACCCATCTAATAAGACCTTCATAAACACTAAGCTTTTGAATAATGTCCTTAACAACTTGAACATAAACGACAGGACAAGAACCAACATCCTTGACCCAACCAATTGCCACCTTACTATCACTCTCGATAATCAATCTCTCTTTAAATCTGTGGCGAATAGATTCATAATAATATAACCCCTTTAGAATAGCTTTCAATTCCATCAAAGTTGGAGGTCCCGGACCAGCCGACTCTTTGAAGGAGCCAAGAATCGAACCAGAAATGTCTTTCAGAACACCACCTAAACCACTCCTCTTCCAATCACTAGAAGTAGCCGCATCCACATTAAGTTTAATAAAACCCTTTGGAGGAGGGGACCAAGGAAACTTAGTTGAAATCCGATTAGTATGAGACGAGCAAGAATCCACTAAGGACGAATCGGCAATAAGAGCATCCTTGGAAATAGAAATCTGAGTTTCCCTAGCTAGAAACCATGAAGCAAGCCTGCACCTTGCTAGAAAGAATATTTCTGCTCGATCAAGCTTCCCTCCTTCAAACACTATATAATTCCTAGTTTTCCATATTGTCCATAAGACCACTCCAGGGATAAATGACCACATAAGAGAGATGGTCTTCAAGTTAGTCCATGCTACTAGGAATTTTTTAGCATCTTCATGAAAAACAGACTGAAAATTCCAATAGCCCATGAATTTAGTCCATATTGGCCACACAACCGAACAGGAAAAAAATAGATGAGATGAAGACTTCTTCTAGATTACAAAAAGGACACAGAGAATCATTTATGCCCTGAACACCTCTCTTAACCAGAGCTGTCTTCACTGCCAGCTTCTTTAAGATAACTTGCCAAAGAAAAGTCTCCACTCTTGGAGGCAGCAGGCCCCTCCAAAAAATAGATTTCCAAAAATGAGCTTCCTCCGAATCGGAACTCCCCGAATAAATTAGATTGGCACATGATTTAACATTGAAAACCCCTTCTCTATTCCCCTTCCAAAACAGTCCATCAAAAGCATCAGCAGAAACAGAAAAACTAGCAGTCACAATTTCAATTCAACATAGAATTTTACCATAACATAGTAATAATAGACAAGGTTGTAGACAGTTCTTGATACAGGTTAATACCTTAATAACGGATTCAAATATCTGCAAACCCTAGAAAACATATTTAAGAAGAGAACAGAAGCTAAAACCATAGATAATGATATTAAAAGGGTTACCAGTGGCAGTAATAATGCTTGATTTAAAACATGGTTTGGAAGTCTTCCTATTCACAGATGTGCAAACCAATGATGAGAGAGAGTGTCAGGAAAGAAGAGAGAGAAAAAGGAATAGGCCAGTCTTCCTCCGACGGGAGTTGGACTGTATTCGTTGACAACCTGAGTAAGAGAGTCACTAGGAGTGAGCTAAGAAACATATTTATCGATCAGGGTCAGGTGGTGAGAATTTTCATACCAAATGTGGTGAACAGGCCAAAGTATAAATCTTTCACTTTTGCCTTCGTTCAGTTTGGTAATGAAACAGAGATGAGGAATGCGGTTGAAAATATTAACGGGTTGTGGATAGATGGGAGGAAAATTTACGTTGGAGTTGCAAAGTACCAGAGTGTTCGACCAAGGGTTGCTGGTTCTTCTTGTCTTTCAGTTGGTGTCCAGGAAAAGGTTATATTTGATAAAGCTAATCCAAGTTCGAAGGCTGTGATTCCGAGCAGATTAAGAGATGATAGATCATACAAAGATGTCTTGGTGTCGTGCAGTTCGCAAAAGACTGAGTCGGAGCATATAGGAAAAAGTTACGAAAGTCTAGACAGGGGAAGAGGGATGAAGAAGAAGAAGAATATTTGGGAAATGCATATTCCTACTGAAAATTCAAGTTGGGTGAAAAGATCTCTAACGGGTATTGTGAAACATTCCTTTGAGCTGGAGTTGGTTCAAAAAGGTTTGGCTAGTGATGGTTTTGAAGTTCAAATTGCGAGCTGGGGATAAGTTTGGAACTCTTGTGTTATAATGTTCAAATCAGAGGAATTGATGAAGGATGCGTGGTCAAATAAGAGTAAGGAGTTATGGTTCTGGTTCGATCGATTGGCACCGTTGTTGAATGAAGGTGGAGTGCCTATGGCTTATTGTTTGGTGGAGCTGTTCGGTGTCCCTCTGTTATGTTGGCAAGAGAATTTCTTACAGAAGTTAGCTGGAAGGTGGGGTTCAGTGGAGGTCATCCAGGATTCGACTCTAACAAGGGAAGATCTCTCGATGGTGAGAATTTTGCTTAGGGTGGAAAGTCCCTTTGACGTCCCGGAAGTGTTTACTCTAGGTTCCTATAGAAGATCATATAAGGTGACTTCTAAGTTGGGATCTACTTCTCAGGTTTCAAACTTCTTTCATGGCATCTCGTCGGATAAATTTTCCGACGATAGAGTCACAGTCGTAGAGTCGTCAGAGGAGGAATACGATAGTATACGTTCGTCAGACATGGCAGGTCCAGTCAGCTTGATGTGGAAGATCGGCAGAAAGTGAACTTATGGATTGATTAGGGATTTCCTGTCGGGGTTGGTGCAGCAGGTGAAGAAAATCAGTTTTCAAAAAGAAGCTTGGCAGGGAAAGACATTAATGAAGTTGTGTCAGAAGGTCACAGTTTGGGGAGTAGTAAAAAGGGAGATTATGCTGGGCTGGGTTTAAGAAATAAGGGGGATTATAAAGACAGTTTGCAGGCCCTTTCAGACAGGAGCAGTGAGCCTTTTTCTCCTATCTTGAGACTAGTTCCGGCTGGGCCAGTAGTCAAATTCATTGGGCCCGGAAATGCTAATCAAAAGCAAATTCATAATGTTACTAGCAGCTCTGGGGATGGAGACAAAGACAGAGGCAGTCAAGGCTTATGGTCTGAGGCGGGTTTTAAGGATACAACAGGTATGGATGGTGAAGTGGGGTCTGCTGAAGGCTTAAAGTTGTCATGTTTTAGAGCTGGTTCGCCAACTCGTTCTGCTAGTCCTATTTCTTGGAAGAGTGCCCCGGTTGGGAGAAAGCTAATTAAGAGTCATAAGAGATTTTATAGCAGGTCCAGAGAAAGAAAAATTTGGTTGGATGAGCCAGGAAGGGTTTCTAGTTTAAAGTTGGGTAGGTTTCCTATCTCAAGTGGTTTTCATTCTAAAAGTTCAGAGGCGGCTGGGTTGACTGAAGGGGTTTGTGTTGATCAAAGAGGCAAGCGCTCTTACAGGAGAATGAAAAGATCCCTCACTAGGGATGCTCTAGACCATGCTAGTGTGACTACAGTATCCACATTAACATTCTCAGGGCTGTTGGAGGAAGCGATTGCTACTTGGGAGATAAGCAGGATGCTGGGCATTTCTTTCAAGGAAGGGAAGAATGCTTTTCTACAAAAAATTATGGATTTGGAGAAAGGTTTGAGTCAGGCTAGCTGAGTCCTAAGATGGATTCTGGGATTGTTTTGGTATTTTTATAATTGAATATGATGACAAAACTCATTATCTTGTCCTGGAATGTTAGGGGGCTGGGCAAAAAGGAAAAACAGAGAGCTGTTCAGAAGTTATCCTCAGAGAAAAAACCAATGTTTCTTTTTCTCCAAGAGACAAAACTTGAGATTTTACCAAGCTCATTTTTAAGAAGAAGTGGGTTGAATAAGCTGCAGGGGTTCGTTGTGTCTCCAGTAGTTGGATCTTCAGGAGGCTTATTTAGTTGTTGGGATGATAGTTGTTTTGAGTTAGAAGACCAGTTTATCCATAGGAGGTTTATTGCTGTTTTTGGGAAGTTCAAATTCAATCAATTTAGGTGTGGGTTCATTAATGTTTATGGACCGTCTGTGGAAGAAGAGAAGGCCAGTTTCTTTGAAGAATTGGGACAGTTTTTAAATGGGTGCAGTTTGCCTTTATGTGTGGGAGGGGATTTCAATGCTTACTTAAGAGAGGAGGAGAAGGATGGCAGGTCTCAAAATAGAAATTCAATGGATATTTTCACTCTGTTCATTCAGCAAACGGGGATGATTGACTTACCTTTAATAGGGGGAATATACATGGAGCAGTAATCGGGATTGCCCCACTGTTATTAGGCTGGATAAGTTTCTGGTTAATGTCAGCTTCCTTTCTAAGTTTTCTGATATTACCCAATCGCTGTTGACAAAGTCCATTTCTGATCATAATGCTATTATTTTGGAGAGTGGGGAAGACAATTGGGGCAAGAGGCCGTTTAGGCTGTTTAGCTATTTGATGACTGAGGACGGCTTCCAAGAGAAAGTTGCAGAGTCTATTAATGAGTTCAAGAGGGTCAGAAAAAAAGCAGGAATTCTGAGCATTCTTAGAAATACTACGTTTGCTATAAAGACTTGGTCTGGAAATAGGAATCAGTTTCCTAGTAAACAGATTTCTGCTATTGAAGACAAGATCCATCACCTAGAGAACTCTTTTCAGAAGAATCGAGTTTCAGGAGTTATTGATAGTTCATCAGAGCTGAAGTTACTGAGGGATGAGCTTTGGAGACTTTACAGAATTGAGGAGCAAATCTGGTTTCAAAATTCAAGAGAGAAGTGGGTTAAAGATGGTGATCGGAATTCTAAATTTTTTCACACTTGTGCTTCCATTAGGAGGCGGAGGAACGCTCTAAATGCTATTTGTGTTGATGGGGTTATTATCAGGGACCCGGTCCGGTTAAAGTCTGCTGTCAAAGAGCATTTTTTCAAAGCTTTCAATAGCCGCACCACCTTGGAAGTGGAGGATATTAAGTTAAATTTCTCAAGAATTTCAATGGAGCAGAGTCTTATGCTAGAAAAGGAGTTTACGGAAGGCGAAATTTTGGAAACCTTGAATTCGTGTGATAGTAACAAAGCTCCGGGTCCGGATGGGCTGAGTATGGGTTTTTTCAAAAAAATTTGGTCTTCATTGAAAGGTGATATTATGAATTTTTTCAATAACTTTTACTTGGGAAAGGATTGGGAGCATGGCATTAATCATTCGTTCATAACTCTAATTCCAAAGGGCTCTAATATTGGGGGCTTAGATGATTTCAGACCAATTAGCCTAGTAGGTGGGATGTACAAGATTCTTTCCAAGTGCCTTTTGAGAAGGTTGAGGTGTTGCATGGATGATGTTGTTAGTGATTCACAATTTGCCTTCACTCATGGTAGACAAATCTTGGATTGTTCTTTCATCGCTAATGAAGGTATTGATTTGTGGAGGAAGAAAGGATTGAAGGGTTGTGTGTTGAAGGTGGATTTCAAGAAGGCCTACGATACGGTAGATTGGGATATTTTATTTAAAGTTATGGTTAGAATGGGATTCGGATTAAAATGGTGTGGCTGGATTCGGAAATGTGTGTCAACTGCCTCGGTTTCAGTGCTAGTTAATGGGGTTCCTACGGATGAATTTCCTATGGCTAGAGGTCTTAGACAAGGGTGCTCCTTGTCACCATTGCTGTTTAATTTCATTGGCGAGTTACTTAATCTACTGATTCGGAAAGCAGTATCTTCGGGCATGTTCAGTGGTTTGATTGTTGGCAAGGATGATACAGCTCTTAATTTGTCACATTTGCAATTCGCAGATGATCTCATTATCTTCTGTATGGCTTCGAAGACACAGATTCTAAATGTCAAGAGGGTCTTACGGGTCTTTGAAGTCATTTCAGGACTGCAATTAAACCTCACTAAGTGTAGATTATTTGGGATTAATATCAGTGAGGAAGAGGTGTTGCAGTGGGCTAATACTATTGGTTGTGTAGTGGGACATTTTCCTTCGGAATATTTGGGATTACCGCTTGGTGCTAAGAGAAATTCTATAGCGTTGTGGGATCCGATAGTGCAGAAATTTAACAAAAGCTAGCCAGCTGGAAGGCGAGGAATCTGTCTGTGGCAGGAAGATTAGTGTTATTGAAGGCTGTTTTATGCTCATTACCCACCTATTTCATGTCCCTGTTTAAAATACCCTCTTCCGTGATTGTTAAGCTAAACTCCATTATGGCCAGTTTTCTATGGGGAGGAGGGGCAGAGGTTAAAAAAATCCATTGGATAAACTGGTCGACAGTATGCTCTGCAAAAAGTGCGGGTGGTCTAGGAGTTCTAGATCTTAATTACATGAATAGAGCACTCCTAGGAAAGTGGTCTTGGAGGTTTGCGAATGATAGAGGGTCAGTGTGGAAAAAGGTTATTTGCAGTAAGTATAATCTGGACCCTAGTTTGTTGATTTTCAAGGAAAAACTACCTGCTTTTTCTTCTTGGATTTGGAAATCGATAGTCAATAATCATTTCAAAGATGACCAGTTCGGAGCTAAATTTCGAAGTCTGTTAGATGTTCGAGTAGGCAGTGGGGACATAATCAGTTTCTGGTCTGATAATTGGGCGACTGTTTCCCCTCTTAAAGAGGTCTTCCCCAGATTATTTGTTCTGTCTGTAAATAAAAATGGGAAGTTAAAAGCGTTTGGTGAGTTCAAGTCCTCAGTTTGGTGTTGACATGTTCAATTGAGAAGGAGTTTGAGTGACTGGGAACTGGTTCAATTCTGCGATCTGATGACCTTAATTCACAATATACCTCAGTCCAAGGATCTGTCTGATGGGTGGGTTTGGAGAGGAAACGGGGATGGGATCTATTCTGTTAAGACCAATGTCAAAGCTTGCAGTCCTGTTTTGTCAGTTGATTCTTTTTGGATGAAATTCATTTGGAGGGGTTTGGTGCCTCCCAGAGTGGAGGTCTTTTTGTGGCAGGTTGTGCATCATAGACTGCCAGTAAAACAGGAACTACAAAGGAGAGGAGTTTCAGCTGTTATAGATGTGTCATGTCCCCTTTGTAAAAAAAAGGTTGAATCCTCTTTGCATTTATTTTTTACTTGCCTTGTGGCATGGGCATTGTGGATGAAATTTTTGAAATTGTGGGGTGTTAGTTCGGTTTTGCAGGCCAATGCTCAAAGTTTTCTGATAGCTTGGGAGCATTTGGTCCCTAATTCTAGAATTTGGTCATATATTCCGGTGTGGTGCTATGGACTATATGGAAATATAGGAATGACATTGTGTTTGATGGGGGTAGGCTCGATCAGATCGATCTGTTTTTTATGACAAGATGTAGGCTGGCGACCTGGTTCATAACGAATACCAAGGATGTCTCTATTCTAAAAGACTCTCTCATCTCTGATCCTACTATTGGGGATTATTGCTCTAAGTCAAGGTGTTCGATCATTGAAATTGTGTCTTGGTCTCCTCCTCCAAAGGGTTTTATTAAACTTAATGTGGATGCAGCAGTGAATGGTGATTGGAGGAAGAGTGGTGTTGGGGGAATTCTTAGAGATGAGGATGGCTCGGTGATGGGCTCTTTTCAAGAGCCTTCTGGTCCAGGTCCTCCGGTGCTGATTGAGTTATTGGCAGTTAAGAGGGGCCTAATTTTTTTTGAGCCGTTTCATCATCAGATGAAGGAACGTTTATTGATTGAATCTGACAGTAAACTTGCAGTAGAGTGGGTCAAGAATTTTGATCTCTGTCCCGTTGTATACTCTAATTTAGTAAAAGATATTGTTACTAAGTTAAGGGAGTTGAATGGTATTATTAGATGGGTTGCTAGGTCAGCCAATGTTGAGGCTGATAGTTTAGCCAAAGCTGGTATTGGCTAGTTTTACATTTGTTATTTGCTTTTGTAGTCTTTGGGTTGGATTATGTAAAGGGAGTGTTTATGTGTTGTTGTTAAACATTATGTATATTGTGGTTTTTAATGAATCCTAAGGCACTCTTTTCCTCCTTCCGCTGATTGAGAAACACTTAGTGTTCCATTAATCATGAAGGGGGTTTTTAACGAGGCCTACATTCCTATCAAAAAAAAACATGGTTTGGCTTCTCAAACATGGAAAGGTAATCCTGATCAAGTCTAGAATCATAAACATAACTTTTATCCTAGCGTCTTCAAATATGAAGGAAAAAATATACCAATTGTTGATTCCAGGTGCTCTTTCAAACAAAGCTTCTCCGAACCTGTTCCGCAGAACCATGAAGACATACATCTTGCTGCTTGATCAATGTTGTCAAATTCCCATCTTTGCATGAATTTTGCTTCTATGGCCAGAGAGGTATCAGTCTGCAAGTAAGAACAAACATGCTGAATAGCAAATACAAATACATCAATGGTGAATCACAAAAAAAAGAGAGAGAGAGAGAGAGAGAGAGAGAGAGAGCAAATACCTGAAGCTCGTTGTAGTAGTTAATACCTCGAACATTGGACCATGCGACTTCAAATACAATGAAGCCATACAATGTCCTATGCAGGTCACTGCTAAGAAGAAAAGAGGTATCCAGTTTCTTCGTTCTAGACAATACTTTAGCATGAAAAGAAGACAACCATGTCTCAAAATTATTGGAAACTTCAGCATTTGATCTGGAAGAAGCTTCCTTTCCCTCCTTTGTCTCCCTACGACCTTTGTTGATAGCAAAAGGAGATAACCTGGACTGAACATAATTATAAAAGACTTAAATTCAATTATAATCTTCTTGTCTTGAAAAAACGATTCCCCCCCCCCTCAAAAGACATAAAGGTGTTTCCAGTAACCTTGGTAACCATCAATTGCCACAAGAGAGCTGGCCGTGAACCAATGTCCTCCATAAGCCATGGTTGGTTGTCCACCAAAATGTAGAATTTGTTGCTTTCAAGGGCTAGGAAAACGCTAAGATCAGAAAAATAAGACTGCAAATCTCTGCAATCATACATTCCACAACAGTTCAAATGACAAAGTTCATATAGAAGTCATTAAGCTCAATAAGAATATAAGATTACATATGTTTGATTAATATATATAAACCCATTGGATTGAAAAATATATTTTTAGTCACCCTTCCCTATAATTTGCAAATTACAAAAAAAATCATCTCAAAGCAGATAATAACGAAAAAGAAAACCTCAAATAAATTGAAAAATACTCTTGGACCATGTGGAAGATTTTCATTTAAAAATCTTTCACGAAAACCTAATAAAATCCGTTCCGTTATTAATTCTACTAGTTTTCCTATAATCAGAATTTGGAGGGGGAAAATGACAATGTATGAAGAATCTTATTCATAAAACAAAATTATAAACGAGTAAGTGAAGCCAGAGTTTTAAACTTAGTGAAATTCAACATAGATCATGCTTAAAATACCCGATTTGGAGACTGGTTATAGGGAAAACGTTGCGTCCGTCATCGTGTTTTCCCATCAAAATTGTGATCTATCCTCTGTTCAGCAAATCACTCACATGGGAAAAAAGAAAACAGTTTCTCTCATAAATACCCAAAATGAACATTGTTGTTTATAAATATGAAAAGAGAAAAAAGGGAAAGGAATTCCATGACAATGCAAGCCAAGAGACGGAGAGAAAACGAAGAGATGTCAACTTTGTAACAAAACAGAAAAATAAAATATTTTTTTTCATGTAATTACAATTATATATTATATTATCTATTTGTAGCTACCCGTATAACCCGTGATTCGTGCGGGTTTCGGGTCTTAAAAAATAAAATTTATTTAAATTGTGGGTTTATTAGTTTGGATTGATAAATTCGTGGTTTAATGAGTATATTTGCAGGCTTCGTGGGTAGCTCACTTAATTTAATTATTTTTTTAAATTTATTTTATGTTTTACAGAAGACAATTTACGTTTAGTCTAATTCACGTTTTAAGTGCATTTTAACCATAGTACAATTCACGTTTTATGTGCACTGAAATCTGAAACCCAATTCACGTTTTAATTTGATAATATCCAATTTTAAAGTTTGAACGTATTAATTATACATATGTTAACGTAACATGATAACATAAACAAAAAGGTTTCTATCTTTTTATATACATATTTACCATTTATAATTAATGCCATCAATATATATATATAAATAAACCATAAAATGTTTATTATGCTCCAATAATTAATCATAAGAAAAATTTTATATATATATACGTTAAAAAATAGAAAAAAAAAACAAATCAAAGTATTAAATCATGTATAAATATAATAATTAAATTAAAAAGGTAAAATAACCTAATATGCAAATATGCAAATAATATATAAAACTTAAGGCAGTGATAAAAAAACATACATAAAATTAGAGTATAAAATTAAAATAATAAACTATATTTGAGGATTATATTACATTAATTCAAAAGTTGGTGGAGCCCTTACACGATTAGTACATTAAAATTTGTCATGATTATCCTAAATCCCTAAAATATATTATTTTGTGTGTCTTATATTATATATACGCCGTTATAAAATTTTAAGAATCATAGTCTCATTTTTTTTGTTTCCCTTTTCCGCCGTTTCTTTCTACCTCCCCAACTTCTCTCTTTTTTCACATAAACAATAAACAATAAACGAGTAAGTCGTTAGCCCGTGGGTTAAATGGTACGGGCCGCGAGCCTTAGAATTTAAGACTATTTATGATTACGAATTTTTTAAACTGTTCCGTTTAAACTTGCACCGTCAAAACTCGCAGACTAAACGGGCGATAGTCTGTATACCCATCTCTACAGCCAACAAACCTGGGAAATAAGGGAGATATGCGAGGGGATTAATCTTATGATGTGCTACGGCGGTTTCTATCATGTTTATTTCCGCCTTTTGTCTTCTTTTTTTCCATGCATGCATATTAAATAGATAATAGTGTCTAACTATAAATTTTATCTTTTGAATTTACAAAAAAAAATAGTTTATTAAATATGAAAATCTAGATATTAATCTTTTTTTATACCTAATATATGTGATGCTCGAACTTGAAACCTCAAAGAATAAGAATAAATCTCTTAATTGTTAAAGTAGTGGTACCTCCTGATTTGAGGGTTAAATTTATTTTAATTTATTAAAATTAGGATCAAATTGAAAGAATATATAAATAACATAGACTAATTATGTAATTATACCAAAATATTTTAACTGTCACGTCACCTCCTCCATTAAAATATGTAATTACAGGTGGCTTAATTGAAACATTTAAATAGTTGGATGGTCTGATTGATGAAATCAAAATATTGATGGTCGAAATTATTTTTAACTATAGTTAAATTGTCACATATCTAGTTTACTCTTTTTTATATTGATTTAATTTAATTTATTAGTGTTATGAGATTTTTTTTTTCATAATCCAAACTGTGGCTCACTGATTCAGATGCAGAACAGATAAAGAAAACAAATAGAGGAGGAAGGAGAGAAAATTTATGTATTTCATTCAAATCGAGAAAGGTAATCTCTATATACTGTGCTGATTATATTTCTTGCACCATCAAGTAAATTTATCTATCAGACAATTGTTGTCCTTGATCAAGGATAGATCGATACGGGTGGCTGGATCAGTTGCCTTTTTAAATTTTTTTTTTTATTTTTAATTGATAATAAATTTTATCCTTAAAATTTTATAAATTCACTCTCTATTAAAAATTTATAAATTCATTCTCTTAAATAATATTTTACGCAGTGGCGAATGTATGTTGAATTCAAGGTGTGCACTTCCTCACCTTAGAATCCGAATTTTTTTATATTAGTTCTTTATTTTACTAAATGTGTTCATCTGTATTCACCATAGAATCTGAATTTATTTATATTAGTTGTTTATTTTACTAAAGACATCTATCCTAAAATTTTATTTGTGCCCACCCTATACAATTTTTTTTATATTAATACCCATCCTAAACAATATTTTTCAATCCAATGCTGATTCTACTTTGGTCCCAATCCTTACTAATATCTTGCTAACGAATTCCCATAGGCGTTATTGCTACTCATCTCTATCATTCTTGGTTGAATGAGTCTGGAATATGGATTATGCCTTCATGGCTCTTCACTAACATCAGCCAGCCCACTAGCAGATGTTTGCCCAACGGTTCCCTCAATTGCTCCAGCCCTTTCCTTGAGCTTGGCATCATCTTCAATCAGCCTACCATTCCTCATTTAATCTTTTTTTGGGATCCATAAATACTGTCACTGTGCAAAAGGTTAGTTTTAGTCTATCTATCTAGATATATGTAAAAAATATTTTAAATACAATTACAATATTAAAAATTTAATACCTCTCTATTGTGTCTATTAACAAACACCTTGGTGAGTATTTAAAAAGTATTAAAAACTTTTAAAATTTTGAAATAAATTAGATATAAAATTATTGATTAAGGACCTATTTGATTTTTAACAGAAGTTTAGGGGTAAAATTAAATATTAACATTTCTGTTAACGTTATCATATAATCAATTTAACGGAGAAGATGGTGGAGTGATCATTTTGTTACAAACTAATAACCCTAATGATCAATATATTATTTTTAAAACTTTAATAAAAAATAAAAATTTACTCAAATATTACAGACCATTTATATAGTTTACCTAATAAAATATTTATAACGTGAAAATGGAATTAATTCAATCCAATGAAAACATGAAAATATTTAGAATGGAAAACAAAAGTAGCATGATGAGCATTGGGAGAATAAAAATTGGAACACTTTGGGTTCAAATTAACAAATAATTTTGTATACGTTTTGAAAGTTTTCAAAGGGTCAATAAGGAGAGGTTTAAAATTTTCGGGGATTTGTAGTGTGGTTGAGGTTATTGGGGTCAGGCAACGTAATAGTAATGGCAGAAGGTCGGCCAAAGAACAATGGAGGTCCACTGCAAGTAAAAACAAGTCGGTGCCCCATGTTTGTATATTATATAATTATATTTAGGTAATAATATATTTTTATTATCTGCATTTTATAATTTATGTTGATTTATATATATCATTCCTAATAATTTTAATTTTAAAGCTTAAATTTAAGACTACAATATATTTTATTATTACATTCAACATCAGTTGATAACTAAAACTATGTATATTATAATGGAAGAAGATTAACTTAACTATTGTGAAAATTAATAAGTTTTATTTTGATTTATAATTATTAGATAAATGTAAATTGAAGATTGAAATTATTCACTTTTTAAAAAAAGAAGAAGATATTTTTAACTTTTGATCCCAAACATTAATTTACATTTATCTATCTATATATATATATATATATATATATATATATATATATATATATATATATATTATGATGTAACTGAATATTGCTTGTATTATAGTTATATTTAAACTAAATAGTTAAATTAAGATTTTATGTGTGCCGCTTCTATTTTTTATCTTTGCTAGTCGACAACGGCACCAACCTTAATGTTTGTAATGCCTTAAATATTTTGAGTTAGTAGTATTGAATTAACTCGAGAGGATTTTGGATAAACCCACTAGCCTTGGGGGAATCCTTAGCCCAAGTTTGATTTGGATTGGGCTTGGTTTTGGCCCAATTAGACTTAAAAAGAGCATTTTTAATCTTGGAGCAATGTAATATCCTAAACCCGTACGACACACAGTCGACTGATTAGAATGTCGCATGGAACCACCAGAGTGGTTAACCCAATTATTTTTCATCTTCTTAATTTAAAACGACCATTCAAAAACCATTTTAATAAGAAAATTCATCCATAAAATATAATTGAAAATTTTACATCAGGGAGCTCCCAAAATAAATATATACATCAAAATATACAGGCCAATTTTCTAGTTAAAGTTACGACTCAATATACAAATGGTCTATAAATATACATGCCCTTCAAGAAAACTTGAGACGTACTTTGCTCTGCTCGAGTCTGGACCTCGGTCACTCACAAGCTCCTCGAAAGCTCCACCTACTCATCTGCGTAAGGAAGCAAATTCCAAATATTGAGATACCCAGCCCAGCGGCACACTAACAACTATATAATACTAAAAGTGTATCAATAAAATGCTCAAGCTATCAAGTCTAATGCATTAGTGAGTATACTTGTATACTCACTCTCTACTCTGGTAAACATCATGGTGCGACTGAGGGTTCTACCTCTTGGATCTCACGCATCCCTCTAGTATACTGAGAATGATGCTCGAAACTCTAAGTTGGTCAACACCCTCGACAAACCCCCTTGCGAGTGTTGGGCCTTGGCCCTAATTAATCAATTTAAAGTGCCTTGCGCACTACCTAAAGATATCCGGACTGAATCTATACATCGATACTAGTATCATATGCGAAAGTGACTCGGGTGTCCTGATCGTTTTCTGAGCATTCAAACAAGGCTAGTTTTATGTCACCCTATTTGATTTCGTTTCTAGTGTAATTAGACATTATTTGTTTTATCACTTGTAGTCTTATTTGAGAGTAATTACAAAGCTTTTCGGAAACCTAATATCTTTTAAGGTCCCTTAAAATTCATGCCTATAAACATAAAATTCATGCCTATAAACATACTCTGGTATTGATA